GGGGGGGGGGGGGGGGGAAAGCGTACAAACACGTACAAACACAATTTAGAAGACACGGGAGCCAGCCCAGCCCAGGCTCTAATCCGCCAACAAACTGGCACTCTCCTTTTTTTGTTGCTCTGCTCACCGAGGTCGGCCATGCCAACATAGGACGGGCCACGGTCGTCACCTGCCCTATAGAGCCCTAAATTCGTTTGCATTGCAGGTCTTAGATCCTCTGGGATCGGATCGAATTTGCTAGCTCAGACCTTCGCGATCTCCGGATTCAGGATGCCGTTGTTTTTTTCTAGGCAGCTGGTAAGGTCTGAGCAGCAGCATGAGGAGCGCATGATCCTTGCAGAAAGGGCTCACTTGCACCTGCAACATGCAGCCGCAGAGAGCCATCCGATCAGTGGGATACCTTGGAAGACCTTCCACTATCTTGGATTCTGGCTCGAGGACCATCTTCCCCCAAGAAAGCTGCAGCCGTGCAGACCACCGCGCCAGAGAAGTGGAGCAATTGAGAGCAGATTCTAGCACGCCGACACCGCCCGCAATAGCCCACCACAGATCCCATAGCCCAGGGTGGTTCACCACTGGCTGCAGCTCGAATGTAGTGGCTCTTCTCGGCCGGATCGCGGATCGAGCAGACGCCGGGAGCGACAACGGTTGCTCCCCGAGGGATGGCGCAGGCGCCGGCGCCGGGCGCGCCGGGCGCGCCGAGCGAGGCAGCGGAGTCTCCACAGAAGAGGAGGCTGGGGGGACCTCCCGACAAAGGGAGAGCGCGCACGATCTGCAGAGGGCGGCCCGTCGCCGAGTCCCGGCTCTCCCTCGCGCGAGGCCGACGTTTGCTTCCGACCTGGAGGAGCGATCCCCCGAGAAAGGCCATCCGCTTTTAATAAAACTGCCCTTCGGAGTGCTCTCTTCGGCCCATGTTGCCGCTACTGTTTTGAGTCTCTCCAGGCAGTGAAGGCGACGAGGGAGAGAGGGTGGAAGGCCTCGGCCTTCCGGGTTTTCTTCTGCTTCTTTCTTTGCGGCTTCTGCTTCTTTCAGACTTGCGGCTGAAAGAGATCGCTCAAAGAGAGGTCCGGATCGGATCTTCTCGCCTCGCTCGGGCACGGGACTCGGAGCTTCAATGAGTGATGGCAGGCGGTTTAACGGCGGTTTGGGACCCCGTGGAACTTTTGGGATACCACAGAACAAGGATACTACTGGCTGGTGTGTCGAGTTTAGGGCTCCCCTTGGGGTTGGGGGGGAGGGGGGGCTCAGGCATGCCTGCGCCGATGCGCTTTGACATCAGGAGGCCGTTTCGGATGCAACCGGAGCCTTGAGACTGCCAGTTTTCTTCCTGCCAAGGCTCACAGAGCAGTCTGAGGCCGTTTTCTGATCTCGGCCCCCCTCTGCCCCCTTTGTTCCGTGAATCTGGGAGGCTTTCTCAACGGACGACGAGGGCACGCGATTCCATCACTTTTTGGCCGTGAAAGGACCGACTCAAGTGTAGCAACCGGGCTCCTGCAAGCCTGTCTTTAAAGTCCAAGGGCTTGGGGCTTTGGGGCCTAGGGCAAAAAAAGCAGACTAGTAGGGTCCACTACGTCAGGACCTCCCATTTTCATCGTGCCGGCCACTCAGACGGCGACGAAGAGTCCGGCATGTGGCGGAAGTTCGACTCTGCAGGGCGGTGATGCTGCCGGCTTTCATGAGGCCACTCGGGGCATCGGGTGGCGTGGTGGCACGTTCAACGACACCATGAATCGATTCCTGTGCATGATTTCAGCACGATGATGCACCTATGTATGCAGAGATACCTTACATGTAGATACTTCTACTTGCACCTATATCTCCTCGTCCTTACACCCAGTTGATGTAAATATTTGCTACTAGGTGTACGGTAGACTTGGACCACGTAACGGGACCTGGGCGTGTGAGTGTGTGTGCGTGCGCGCGTGATCATACCGCAGGACCTTCGACCTGGAACCCCAGGCCCGCTGTGGTTTCATCATGCTTGGGGCCGCTTTGCCTCGGAGATGAGATCAGAGAGAGGGGGGTGTTTATTCAAGTGCGAAGAAAACATGCCCCTCAGGTCTTGACCTTGAGCCTCTTCGAGCTGATGCCCCTGTTCTGCGTCGCCCTCTTCATTCCGGTCCTGGGCCTGGGCCCCTGAGAGCTCGCGCCTTTCAAGATTCGCAGCTGCGCCCTGGACTTGGAGGGAGCATCTGCGCGGTCTTCGGCGAGGCCGCTTAGGGTGCGAGCAAGGGAGGGGATGTTCTCTTTGACAGTTGCCGGCCTTTGTCAGGATCGCACGATGCTGACGACGTCAAGACTGCTGCAACTTGGACTTCAGCACAGAGGGGGGGGAGGGCCTCGCGGCCCCGGCCTGCCTTGGCTGCGAGGCTCGGCAGCTTCTTCAACCAGACGCGCGCGGCTTAGCGTCCGGCTTTGGGGTCTGCCTCTGGGAGTTCTGTGCTGAAGACAGGATCTTCGGAATGTCTCCGCTTTCGAAGGCTGAGCAGGCGACTGATCTTCCACGCCTACGGGCCTACAGAGAGTCAATCGTTCTGCATCGAACACAAGTTGGAGGAACCGAATTCCCTTAAGTACCTGGCTATGCCATGCGTTTGGTGGCGAATCCCGTGCGCGCAGTGTGAGAGTCCCCGTCAGTTCAGCCTTTGAAAACTAGCATGTTCCTTCAACACCCCTTGGACAAAGCTGGCTTGAAGCTTCATAGTTTACACCCACCACGTGCGAGGGTCTCCACTGCTCCACTCCCAGGGTTCTGCACCGGCAGATCTGGTTACCATGACCTCGGAGACGAGGTCCTTCTTGGTGTTGGGCAGTCTGGTCATCAACGCCGTGCCATGGCCTCAGGCCTGCGTCGTCCTCGCAGCAGGAGCAAGAACCCAAACTCATTCACTTAATATACGATGGAAAAAGAGAGATGATATGTATAGTATACGTTTATATATATATATGTGTGTGTGTATATGTATATGTACATATAGATATATACACATACATGCACGCACATACATACATACATACATACATACATACATACATACATACACGTATGTACATGCTGTGCAAGGTGAGCACGATAAGTCCCTGATCTTTGGTAAGCCTGGGTTTCAGTACAGTTCTGCCTGTACACTGAAGCCTAGACGGGAACAAAGATTTATGGAACAACTTCTTCGTGGCACTTATTTTTCCAGCCGCGGCCGCGGCCTGAGTTTCCGTCTTGTCCAATAGGTGTCACTTCGTTTGAAGCCCAGGCAGGGTAAGATCAAACGTGCATCCGAAAAGTTGATCTCGTATATCGGTCAGGTTTTCGCCAGAAGTGCTGAGTTATAACAGATGGCAGCACAGAGCATTTGATAAGACAGCATGGTATAGTGCGTTATTGTACAGGATAGGTCCAGGACATGATATATAGAGCATACCCAAGTAATGCAGCATAGCAGTGCGACAGTACAATAATGTGATATCGCACATTGGAGTTGTAGTACGGTATCATGTAGTACAAGACAGTAGAGTACAGTATGGACACAGTATCGTACAGTATGGTACAGTATGGTACACTATCTGATGAACCATAGACAGCTCATGTCACATAATGCGACACAGCATGGTGTACCTACAGAAGGTTGTGATCCAAGATAGCACATCTGGATGTATTGTTAGATAACATGATACACCATTGTCAGCATAGTTTATTGCAATATAGCGCAACATGCGAATAAATGCTCGTATGATTTAACATACAACTCTTCAAAATTGTGCCATACAATATAGGTATACCATAAGCACGAAATGGTTTAGTTCAACACAGTATGTACAGAATAGGGCAATACAGTACTGCATGTTACAATATGATTTGGGATGAATTCGTTCCGTGTCGCCTCATTGAAAATTTTTGAACATGGACAAGACAAGATGAGCCAAGCACAGTATAGGATAGCAAAGCATAAAGGCCTGTAGTCCTTCATTGTGCACCGTAGTATAACAGACATTATCCACGCGTAATGTTGAGCGTAATGTCATTGATGGCCGCAAAACATACACTATAGTAATGTTAATACAGCATATCGTAGTACAGGCTAATTTGACATAATGCAATGTGGTAGAAGATGAAGCATGATCTAGTCAAGTCTAGTCCAGTCTAGTCGAGTCTAGTCAAGTCTAGCCCAGCATAGTGCAGTATCTTGCAGCATCGTGCTCTGCTACAGGATATGATGTAGGAAAATAATAGTAGTATTCTACACAACAAGTGTAGGTTGTGTATGGGTGTAAGTAAGTAGGTAAGTATAAATGTATGTATGTATGTAAGTAAGTAAGTATGTATGTATGTTTGTATGCATATGTAAGTGCAGACGTAGGTACGTATCCATGGATGCATGGATATGTGGACGTAGGGATGCATGGATGCATGGATGTATGCATGTACGTATGCACGCACGGAGAGTATGTGTGTGTATGTATACAATTTGGAGAGAGAGAGGCTTCAAAAAGTTGCGGCTGAGGTTCGAGAAGTGCGGCCTCCTAGACGTGCTGACCTCTTCTTTGCTCCGGAGGGGGCCTGAGAGAGAAGGAAAGATCCCGCGAAGGGCTGAAGAGCCTAAGCCCAAAGCCCGAAACACTGGGTGTGCTCGAAGCCTCCCTGGAAACTTCTAAGGTTCAAACCATGGGTGGGCCCTCTCGTATTGGTGCCCTTAATCCTGGGTTCCCTTATATACCCCAGATAACTCCGAAATCCTACACCCTAAACCCTAAACTCTGCAAAACTCACGCCCTGAAGCATGTCTGAAAAGCGTCAAGCTAATAAAGCCGGTCTTTCTCCGAGGCGCTGGCGCATGGAGAGCAAGAGCTTCCTCCTGGTCAGGGGCCTGAGAAGGGTGGGTTTAGGGTTTAGGGGTTCTTGTCTTTCTCGTCTCTCCTTTACTCCACATATTTTCTTGTTGCGATCCACCATACTAGACTATACTACTGTGCTGGGCTATACTACATAGCTCTACATCAGATCACATTGCTATTATTGGACTTGTCATGCTGGTTTCTGCAATGTGTAGTTCCCCAATAGCATGCGACAGAAAAGTACCTCACAGTCGCCATGCACTCTTTTGATGCTTATATTATTTTGATGGTTGCAGGTCCAAAGGTTTTTTAATGCTTATCAAGTTGTTTTTTGATGTTTCACCCTTTCATGGCCCTCCGTCTTGAAGTTTGCCGGCTGCCGAGCTTTGAGCTCCTTAAGGAAGGTGCCATACCTTTTGATCCCCATGGATCTCAGGTGTTGGCACGCCTCCAGCGCGATACGCTCGCTCTCATCACGCGTCGCAACGGGACGCGAAGGCTCGGAACTCCGGCCGCGCATTCCAGCGCCCAGCCACAGAGATCGCGGACGTGGCGCCGCAGCCCTTGCCGTAGCTGCTGCCAAGCATCCTGTTCTATTTCCCAGCACAGCCCCCAACTGAAGCGACGCGACTTAGCGGATTAATCTGTACCCTAAACCCCAAGCAGCAAGCGCAGCGGGCTGCCGTTTTCCGCGCTGCGGGGCGAAGCTCGGCAGTCCAGAAGTCACGAGTGCACGGCGGGCACTCGGACGCAAACCAAGGGCTCTCAAACTGCTGGCCCGCTGCGCGGGCCAAAAAAGGCACTTCTAGTACTTTGATTCCTGGACGGCTATTGCGCTAGCCTACATTCTACGCCCAAGCAAGGGCGCAACAAGTCACGCCAGGGACTCGTTGCTCGATACGCAACAAACAGCTGGCGGCGGTAGACGATCTACACCGCCTCCAAGGCGTGCCCCTTTCACGGCTACTTCTCTTGTTACTACCGTTGTGTTACTATTTCTATTGTCAGTTCTATTATTACTACTGTTGCTCTTCATATCACCATGATTATTATTTGTGCTATGACTATGATTTCTACTATGACTACTATTGCTCCGGACAAGAGATTGCACAAGGAATACATTGGCCCAATGCAGGACCTTGGAAAGTGCAGTTCCCCAATGACTTGCGGCAGAACAGTACCTTACAATCGCCATGCATTTTGTTTGCTTATCAATTTTTGGATTGCAAACCCAAACTTTTTTTGATGCTTATCAAATCGATTTTGATGTTTTATCTTTTCTTCAACCCTAGCCTGATGTTCGGAGTTTAGTACTAAGGAACCCTAAGGTCGTAGAGTTGGCCCCTTGTTTAAAGGAGTATTGGTAACGGAATCTTACTGTTGACCTCCCCCAGCGCTATTTCGCGGTATCGCGGCACCAGGGATATTGATTCTGACACTCCGCGTCCCAGGTGATCATGCTCTCTACCATGGCAGCCTGCTCCGTGTTGGTCTCGGGGTCCATTGCCAGGGCCCTTTACTCCCTTTACTCACGGCTTTCGTCACAGAGAGAGCAGGAGAAGCTGTGTAGTTTCTTCCGTAACTTCGACTTTCAGGTGGTGCTGGCGGCCCTGAAGCCGCTCCTGATGAAGAGGGGCCCCGGACAGCTGTGGCCTGCTTGGCTTTGGGGTCGGGGTTTTCCTTTAACGAAGTATAACGGACGGCAGCAGACTGCAGCTTTCTTGCGCCTCTCAGGGAAGTGCCCGTGATCAAGCGCCTATTGCTGGGAGTCGCGTTTGCTGCCAATGCGGGCAGCGAGCTTAGAAACCGAGCACTTGGATGCATTCTAAATCAAGTTGAAGAAAGATCGAGGAATGTCCGCAGTCTGCGCCGGCGTGCGTTCCGCGAAGTGCCAGAGGCTCCATTCTTCTGCCCATCTCCAGTCCCGTGACGCTCATCACAGCCGCCCGCTCAGCCTCCGCGAGGAAGATGTTGTGGCACCGGGTTCGGCTCTTTCAAGCGCCCATGAAGGTGAGCCTTCTGCGGGACTTTGCATGCGCCCCAGGATGTGGGACGAGAGACGCTCCGGAGCGAGCGCTTCGTAGAGCTGATCAGTTGAGAGCCGAGGACCACAAGCTCTCCCTGTGGTCGGCAGCTCAGCCACACATTGGGCCTGACAGTACCGATTTGATTGACATCGCGCTTCTTCCTCTCCAGGAGTTGGTTCTTCATCTCAGCTCCCGTGGTACCTCGGCAGATCTCAAGACGTCCGCCTTTTAACACCGCTTCTAACGCGCGCACGTCTCCTGCTGCTTGCGCAACGTGAGAACGCGAAGGCCGTCCCCGCCACCGTTGTGCCAGGAGCCAAAGAGAGAGTGGCTTGTCATGTCCCTCTCGAAGGAACAGGAAGAAAGAGAAGCCCTCGGAGAAGCGCGCTCCCTTGTCGCAGGTCCTGGTGGGTCCTCTGCTACTTCTACCCCGCTGAGCACGACGACGCAGAGGCGGTCTTCAAGACGGTGGAGGAGGGCTTGGAGGAGATCCGATATATTTCGGCACCCAAAAGCCGGGGGAAAAGCAAGAAGAGCCCCAAAGAGCCTCCAAGGAAACCTCCTACAAAAGCTCCAAGAGAACACCCGACGTTTTGTGGAGCCTTGCGGCGGTTAACCCTGAGAACCCAACCCTAAGAAAAGAGCTCCAATAAGCTCCTACATATTGCGTAGAAGATCCGAGCCCCCTCCCCCCAACAAAGACTAAAAACAACAAAAGACTAAAACAGACGAAAAGAAAAGACTAAAACAACAAGAGAGCGAGAGCTCCAAGAGCTGCCGAAGGAGAGCCCTGAGCCGGCCTTATCACGGCAAGTGAGCCTCAGCCATGCCTCCGAGGCCAGGAGCGGTTGGTTGTTTTTTTTTGCGGGGGAGGCCCTTTTGTTCGGCTCTTTTGTGGTTTGTTTGGTTTTGAAAAAGGTGTGTGTCTCTGTGTGTGTGTGTGTTTCCTAAGGGTTTCGGCTAGTTCTTAGCAAGAGGAGGGGGGTGTGTTTGTTCTTGGAAGCTGGTTTTCTGCCCCAATTGAGGTGCAGATGACCCAGGGCCACTGGCCCGCGGCTGAGGGCCGCAGGGTCCCGTTTTCAACGGCGACACGTTGGCCAAAAAAAAAAACCACCTGTAGGTTCATGCTCGTGTCCTCCTGCCTGGCGGTTCTGGGGATGACGATCTTCGCCGAGGCGCTGCGCGGCGCTCCCTAAACCCCAAACCCCAAACTCTAAACCCTAAACCCTAAATCCCTAGCGCCCTAAACCCTAAGCCCTAAGGCCCGACACCCCTAAGGCCCCAAGGCCCTAAGGCCCTAAACGCCTCGCGTGCAGAGAAGCGCCGGTGCTTTCTTCACCCATTGCTTTCTTCATCCGCTTTTTTTGCCAGGCCTTGGAGCCGGTTTTGGGCACCTGCCTTGGCTAAGGAGACCTGTCTGTGCCACCGGTTTTTAGGGGGTTCCTAGGGTTTAGGGGCTCCTAGGGTCTATAGGGTTTAGGGGTTCTAGGGGTTTTGGGGTTTTGGGTATAGAGTTTTGGGGTTTAGGGTTTAGGGTTTAGGGTCTGTGAAACAGCGTAGGTTCCCTGGTTCTTAGTAGGGAATGGGGGAATGGATCCCTATGGATAATCCCTTAACTTAAGGTCCCCTATAGTAGTCCCAAAAACCCACTCCTCCATTCCCTACAAAAAGAACCAGTCAGTGGGTGATGCGGTGCTATAAGAAGATGCTTGACATTCGAGGTATCTTTTTTCAGGTGTAGGTTTCCGAGTATGGGCGGTTCTTTCGAGGCCACCCTGCAATCCTGGCCCTGGCCGTGGTAGTCTGGGGCTTGGAAGCCCGAGACGAGAGGAGAGACTCAGCAACATCTATATATCTCAACTAGACGAAGATGCGAACCTGAATTTTTCTGCTGGACAAGAGCCAAGAAAACAACAAGCACTTTTAAAAGAGCGACCTGCCAGAGTGCTCTTTTTTTACGTCGGATCCCGGCTCGAAAACGCAGAGGTTCCACGGGGCTACCAGCGTGCCAACATGTCTAAAGCCTCTTTTAAGGCCGCCCTTCCAAGAAGAGCAGGGCAGCAGAAGACAGAAGAAAGAGAACGGAGTTAAGGGCTGAATTGGATGAAGGGTGGGGAGAAGCGGTCTCTTCTCAGGTCCTGGCTTTCGGGAGCGGCTTTCTTTCCCGCGGGGCAGCCCGGAAGCTGCCACGTGGCCTCGCGCCCCGAAGACCCGAAGATCAGAGCAGCGAGCTCGAGGTGACGAGTTCCTGTGCCTGGAATGGGATCTCTTAGCCATCGTCGGAGGCACCGTGAGAGCACCTTCGCCGTTGCTTTACATGGATGCCTGCGCCAGGCACCAATGTGATGGCCCTCATGGTGCGGGAAACGGCGCTCGCAGCCAAAGGCTCCGCCATCATGACCCAGGCGGACAAGGCTCAAGGCTTGGAGAAATGCAATCTGCATATCGGCTCCAGATGGGTCTCATTGGCGGCCTCTCGCCAGGCTCCTATCTCCGGCTGTGAAAGTAAGAGAAAAGGAGCCCCAAGTTGCCAAGGTTCTGGCCTTTCACGGCGCTGGTGATCTCGACGCTGATCCTCTTTGGTGCCCTCGGAGCAACTGCTGCATGCGTGTCCGCGCGCCTCCGCAAGAGCCATGGCAGAGAGGTACTTTCTGCGGCCATCAGCTTGCGGGAGTCATTGCGCTGCCTCTGCTGGTGGCCAGACCTATTGAGCTCTCCCCCCTGCGTCCCTTGCATTCGCCATGCAGTATAGCTGAAGCCGGCAGTTTTGAGCAAAGTCTGTTGTCTTTTTTGCCTGCTTTCGCAGTTATTATATCGGGTTTTCTAGAAGAGACTCAGGTGGCGCTGGGCGTGAAGCTGAAGGCGAGTCTCAGAGCTGAAGAGGAGATCTGAGCCGACTTCCGAGCATCGGTGCAAGGCCGCAGAGCTCTTTGCAATGCTCGGGGCCTCGGGAAAAATCCTCGGAAACCGCTTGAAGGCAAAAAAGGGGACCTTTCAGACACGAAGGTTATGTGCTCTTTCGATCCCACTTGGGATGGGAATGCCGAGTGCGGGCCCTGGGCTGGGACTCTTCGTCGGGCCGGGGGGGGGGCCCTGCCCGGGCCGAAAAGAGCAGAGACAGCAGACAGCAGAGGCTGCTCCTTCGACAACATGGCGGCCCAAAGCCTCTCGCGCAGCTTGAAACGAAAAGGGTCCGGGTCCGGGTGCTGCTGCAGCTTTCATAGTGACTCTGAAAGCTTCGGAGCGCCTGGGCCTGGGGGCAGGTCTGAGCTCTTCGTGCGCGACTACCTCTTGCAGGGGCCCTGGGGCGGACCCGAAGATGCTCCGCGCATCGGGCCCGGAACGTTGGAGTCAGGAGCGGCAGTGCCACGGCCGTGTGCGGTGCGATGCTGACGCTGACACTGGGCTTCGGTGTGCGAGACTCAGCCGAAGCCGTCCTTGTGCAGTAAATCTTTTTGGCGTCATCTTCCAGATTGGCTGCTTGCAGCACGGCTTTCCGAAGCCCCCGAGGGAGGCGGGAAGAGAAGAGAGAGAAGCGCAGCTTTTCTGGAGTAGTGCACTCGAAGAGATCGCGCCCCCCGCCCCCCCCCCCCGTGAGAGGTGCGCCACGAGCGCACGCCGGAGGAGCTGGAGCCGCAGGCGGCGAGGGGCGCTGTGGGCTTCCCTCGACTGTTTTTGACGTCGCGGCAGGTCGTCAAGGAGAACCGTGTCCTGGACCTGAAGGATCGGAGCCTCGGAATATCCGTGGGACGTGGGTCCTGCAGAGCCTACGGATTGCAGGTTGTGACCTCAAAGAAGCTCGATCGCAAGGCCAGAGACAGAAGACAGCACGAGCGGCTTGTTTTGGTGCCGGAATCGTGACCCGTGACCCGTGTCAGACTTGAATTGGCCGTTTCTGGCTCAAGGTGTTCGCGTCATTCCCTTGCGAGTCTTCATGTTCTGAGGGCTGCGCTTCCGGCCTGTAGCAATCCGCCCCAAAAAAACACTTCTACAGTCAGCTAGTCCTTAGTCGCAGCTAGTCACTCCGGTGTCCTTGCCAAGGAAGCGCCGTCCTGTCGGGTTCACTGGAATCATGTCGCCTCTTCCGGTGCTCGCGTTACTGACTCTGCCCCATCTCTGCCTGGCCACCCGGCCGCTGGAAGACCTGAGCGCCATCAGCTCGCTGGATCTCTCCGGGAACAGCTCGCTGGATCAGAGACTTTCGAAGCGGAGCCTGGAGGCCCTGAATGCAACCAGCGGCCACTTCGAGAGCCAAGGGAGGAGCAACCGGAGCCAGGGCCACACGGCTGTGGGCTCCCACTCGGGGGCGGTTCCGGGGCCATCCAAAGGCGGCTCCTCCTCGCTGGAGCTCCGGGCCGAGTACGAGCTCGAGCGCCGAGGCGCGCCTTCTTTTTTTTAATCCCCCCCCTCCCGTCTCCTCCCTTTTTTTCCCTTCCCTCTTCTGGTTGTTTCCCCCGCTTTTTAAAGAGCGCCGAGGCCAGAGCAAGGTGATGCTGATCTTCGTGGTCTTCCTGGGTCTGGGCTTCTGTGGCTTGGACCACTGCCTGGTGGGGAATTTCATTCTGGGAACCCTGAAGCTTCTCACCGTGGGCGGCTTCGGCTTTTGGTTCTTGCTGGACTGGATGCTCATCGTCTTCAACTGCGTGAACCAGTATAGCACTCTCAGCGGCTTCGGCTGGGACGTGGTCTTCACCCCCTGCGGCCTGCCTGCAACACACAGGGCCAGCCGACTACCCCGCCCAAACGCGCCCGGAGCGCAGAGCAACAGCCCCTCTAGCCCTGCCCCATCCTGAGCCCTTTCAAAAAACTGGAAGCGCTGGAAGCAGAAAGCAGAAGCAAGCTTTCAAGAAAAAGAGTCGGAGACGTCGGCGAGGCAGCATCGAGGACGCTTGCCGGATCGGCCAGGTGACCTGCCTGCTCCACGCGCCCTTCGTCTTCGCCTTGTTGAAAGCGAAGATCCAGGGCCGCTCCGTGCAGTCCTCCGTTTCTCAGCCTACGCAGAGCACGGTGGCCTTCCTGAGGCAGAAGGGCATCGTCTCCGACTCTTCGTCAAAGCAAAACAGCAAGAGCGAGCTACTGAGTACTTTTTCTAATCTATGACTATAAGCACGTGTCCTCTTCTTTGTTTGGCGGGGAGGGGGGGAGGGGGACAGGGACTGGGGTATCTGGGAGGGGGCTCTCTCTGCAGTCGCAAGGAGTCCCCGGCTTCTTGGGAGATCGACCACGTCTTCGAGGCCTCAGACAAGAACCGCGACGGCGTCGTGACGGCCCAGGAGCTCAAGGAAGGTCTCGCCAGCCTCGGCTGTGAGATCAGCGACCAGCAGCTGGCGGAGCTTATGGGGGGCCAGCAAACCCTACGTCGCGCCGAGCAGCCTTGCAGCACCCGGCCCATAGTATCATTTCAAACCATACTGCATCTTACTCCTTTCTTTGGCTCGAAGGCTGGCGCAGCTCCTTGCAAAAAAGCAGGACCTCGTTACCAGGAGGCCGTCGAAGCATGTTGCCTCCTCCTCGGATGAAGGCCAGCATCTTCTTTTTGCGGATCTTGCTTCGTGATTTGACACGCAGAGCCCTGCGAGGCCTCTCCACTGCACCACAGGACACCGTTGGAGGGCGACGAAGATTCAACAAGCCCTGCGAAGCGAGTGACATAGTAAGTTAACGCTCACGCGTTGTGCGCCTGCCGGACTGATATCCGAGACGCACTCTTCAATGCTAGACCTTCGCACACCTATACCTATCCAGAATAAAACTCAGCATACGTCGCATCCGCGTTCTATGGATCAATGAAGCGTATGCCGCAGCGCTCGAAACGCTATCACTATTTTACAACCCTACAGCCCGAATCCTTGAATCCTTGAACCACTACAGGACGACACAGCGAAAGCTGACGGCTGATCCTGACGGGGTGGCAGCAAAACAAGCGCCGGCCGATGTGTTCATCCATATCCATCTGAGATCTGGGATTTCTTCGGGTCAGAACGGGTCCGGTTATTCAGGAGTCCCTGTACCGTACCTGTTCAGGATACTATGATTTGAAGTGTAGGTCGGGGCTTTCTGATTGTATTGAAACCCTCAGATGGACAAGGAACTGTCAGTAGCCTCTGTCGTTCTGGCTATTCAAAAAAGAAGTCACTGTCAGCCACCTTTGTGACTGCCTCGGCAGGCGCAGCCTGCGATTCTCTCGTTGCGTGGCCTTCGCCAGTTTGGGCAAGGCAGGAAGAGGCGCGTGGGCAGTAGGTTGGCATACTTGTATAGAGGGTTCTTCAGCATGGGAGCACCCCGCTTGGGTGTCCGTGCAATGAGGGTCACGCGGAAATCAGCATTGGGGGTCCGCTAGTTTCTGAAACTCCCACCTGATTCAGATCTCTCAGTCGACCCCAGCAGAGCCCTTCGTCACTTTGTGCAGGCCTGCGATTCATCGAGAAAAGAAAGGCAGGGAGAATTGCTGAAGTCAACCCTGAAAGAATGCATGCACAGGCTTGGTGCCTTCGAGTGACGCTTCCAAGCTGCATAGTTCATAGACACCGCAAGGCCACATGGCACGTCGTACCATGCCTCGGATGGCAGACAGCCACGCGTACGGCAGCTGGTAGCTCACGCTCCACTCCAAGCAACATCAACTCATCGGTAGGAGTTGCATGGTCTGCAATCTCATGCGATCTACATTGCGTAGACGAAATGGGTAGAATTGCAGCTCTTGCAGCACGTCTGGGATGAATGTGTGGTGCAATGGGCAGCGCACGAAATCAGTCCACACTGGCCGTTGAGCTTGGATTTCTGCGAGATCAAGTTGCTGGACTCCTGGACCGTGCATCTCGACAAAGCCTCCTGAAGACATGCCAGGGTGCTGTCGCACGACCTTGCCCAGCCGCAGACCTATGGACACCCAGAAAAAGGACAGACACCCAAGCAACAACAAAACAACAAATACCCCGATTAGCTTCGGCGACTGCGGATGTGGTTGCGACGGTTTCAAGCCTTGGTGGAGCAATGGCCGCCGTGGCATCTCCGGACCTCGGCTACTTCCCGCAGCTGGGCCGGGGAAATGCTGGGCTGCTTTTGGGACGCTTCTGTGTGCTTGTTTGTTCCTTTATATATATATATACATACACATACATACATACATACATACATGTGTGTGTGTGTGCGCGTGTG